AGGATATTTTTGGACCATGTGGAAGAAGAAAATCGTCTTCGAGTTCCAAAAAGATATTACGGGATGCAGGAAATCCAATAGAAATGTTTAGCGAGGGGGGATTTATGCCGATATAGGTTTAACAAGGCTACAATTACAGAAACTATTTTACCTCTTATAAATTGAAGACTTGCAAAAACCTACCAATCGTGGTTTACCCATTCTCCCCGTTATTCAATTACTAATTTGTTTACGGTTTTATACGACTTGTAGTTTTCAGATATTAAATGGAGACATGCTTGGTATTAGCCAACCTACAATAAGCCAGATTATCAAGAGGGTGTCCATTTTAATAGCAGAACATTTGGGTGAATTTGTATGATGCAACCATAAATGGTTGAACAGCATTATTATTCCAATGATACTGCCTTCAGCTTGTGCAGATGATAACAACAAATGGGATACATATATTAAGAATATAGAAAGAGCTATAAATACATCTGTGAATAAATCCACTGGCGAAAAAAACTCCTGAATTATTATATGGATATATTCCGAAGATTGAAGATGGATAAGTGAGATTATTGACGGTAGAGAATGAAAAGTATTCAATTACCTGAAAAATTGAGAAAAGAGGTCAAAGAACATATAGAAATGGAACAAAGGAAGTATAAAAAAATTATGATAAACATATAGATTTAAAGGTATCACAAAGATAGGAGACATGGTCTATATGAAAAGTGCTACTAAATATAAGGGACTATTTACAGTGACACAAGTTCTACCCCATGACACAGAAAAACACATAAACAGAAGTATTTAGAAGAATATGTTTAATGTTTAATGAATACTACTTTTGGTTTATTTAGTTTTGAATAGTTTCATAAATTTTTAAAATCTTTAAATATCATAAATTTAGAATGAATATTTTTTTTATTGTTGTAGGTAATTTTTAAGTTAGTTTTGTTAATTAAGTCTTGGAGACTAAGACATAGTCAGGTTGGACGAGTGTCAGAGAATAAATTAAATTTATAAGTAAAGGCAAAAATTGTCAGTCACTGATTTACGTAGCAGACTAGAAAAAAAAGAATAGAGAAGAATGTCATCTAGACGAGAAGAAATAAGGAAGCAGTAAAAACGCAATAATCATAGAATGTGTATTGTGAAATATTATTCTAAATAAAACTATAAAACATGGAGTATCAACTTTATATAGAGTGGTCAACTCAATAAGAATACAGAATTTACACCAAGGAATAAAATCTTGAAAATTATAGGTATACGGTATACATCCAATATTGTATATTATGTGATATGATATTTATATAAATATTCATGATGAAGAAAATAAAAAGACAATTTTTTTAGTTTTAATGTATTAGTGGGAAAATTCTGTGTGACCAGTTAAAACAAGCACTTAACTGTCTGGTCATAGTGAGCGTAAAACTACTAAGAAATCATATGTTATTTAAGTATAGAAAAACAGTATTTTTATGATAACTAATAATAGACTATAAGAAATTACTTAAAATATGTTACATGTAAATATATAAACACTAACTTAACACTAATAGAAAAGTAAATAAAATTATTATATAGGTACTAGTTACCTGGAACATTACTTAACATATTACATAATTACTAGATATACATATATTAATACAATAAATACATAACATTTCTTCAAAAATCTAACCCTCTTCCTTTTTATTTATAATTGGAATGTGTAAATTAGCATCTTCAAAATTATCTAAATTTTCCCTTAAACCAATATTATGAAGAACAGCTGTTGCACAAATAATAGCAACAGTTGTTTTGTAAACCTCAGAGAAATGGAAGACGTTTTTACCAAGTCCCCTTCATCATTTTGCTTTCTTCTATGGGCAAAGTTATACCTGGTTTCTTGTTGATTACCTAGCTGTAGAACAGAAGTCAATAGAATTGGCCTACATCTATATGCATTGTCTCCAAGAAGTAAATCACGAATATCACGCCTTTCCATTAGAATTCTTAAATTACTTCGATTGAATATAACACTATCATGACTTGACCCTGGATATCCAACTATAATATCCATAATTTCCCTTTTGGGACCTGAACATTTAGACTAAAAAAAATTTTTGCGATTTTGAAATACTTCCACATTATTGCATTATTCTTGATTATCTGGCTTATTGTAGGTTGGCTAACACCACGCAAGTCTCCATTTACCATCTGAAAATTACAAGTCGTATAAAACTGTAAACAAATTAGTAATTGAACAACGGGGAGAATGGGTAAACCACGATTGGTAGGTTTTTGCAAGTCTTCAATTTATAAGAGGTAAAATAGTTTCTGTAATTGTAGCCTTGTTAAACCTATATTGGTATAAATCCCCTCTCGCTAAACATTTCTATTGGATTTCCTGCATCCCGTATATACCTTTTTGGAACTCGAAGACGATTTTCTTCTTCCACATGGTCCAAAATATCCTCAAACTCTTCTAACATATTCAAAACTGTTTAATCAGACAAAACGGATTTACAAGGGATTTATTTTGTTTACTAAAAAAGTTAGGTTAAGAAACTATCCACAGATCACATAAACTATCCAAAATGAAAATCGCAATCTCCAAAATGACGTTTGCTCGTGTATTCTGTGGATTCCGCTCTCGAGAGCCCAAGACCGTCTTGGCGTCTCGAGATGCAACTATAAATACCAGCCATGTCTTCTTATTCAAAGAGTTAGACAAAAACAATGCTGTCATTGTCTAGGCGGCCCAATGCCTTCTATTAAAAGATCAGCCTGCGGGCGGACTTTTGTTTACTTCATCAGCTGTACATACTTAGATATTGGGTTAGATTCCGTTTCATATTTTGTCGGTTGATTTTTGGTTTTAACTCTTTGATTTTTGGTATTATTTATTATTGTAGTGCAAAAAACTAATTATTTTGGTGTTGAAGTGACATAAACTACTACCAGATATATGGTCACTCTCGGTTTCGCACAAAAAAAATAGAAATTTTAAAAATTACGTTGTGCAAGTGATTTAACCTAAAAGTGCCCATACATTTTTACTTATCGTGATTTTTTGTGTTGTGTTTTAAGACTCTAACAATTCATCAATAAAGCTTAAGTGGAGTGTGTTATTGGTGCTATGCCTCATCTTTGTTGTGTTCCTGGTGGAAAGGATGGTTACTAAGGATAGTTATTATACTAGGCAGCCTAAAGTGTCCGGAAGAGCAAGAAAAGTGGGTACGAGTTATAAATCAAGAGAATTTTATTGAAAATATCTTTAATAAATTTAAAAATAATATTCTCCCATGATGGTGTATTAATAGAAAACTGGACAATTATGTTTATTTTATTCATATTGTGGAATCTCCACTCCAAGTGTTGCTGGTTCAGCTTCGATAGATTCAAACACGTAAGTAGGTATTATGATCTAGGGAAAAATAAAGAATATGTGTATTAGAGATCATGAAAAAGATTATTATTTTGAGTTCAAATTTTAAAAAGATTTTTTGTAAAGACAAGACTGATACAGTTTAAAAAGAAGAATGTGTTTTTTGTTTGATAATATATAATGTATGTTAAGCATAACATATATTTGTTCAGTAATTTTTAATGAATAGTATTGATTATTTATAATACCAAATTAATATCAAATATTTAAGTGATGGCTGAATACAATATGAATAAAATAACAATAAAATTGGTATATTTGCATAATACAAAATTAAGTTTTAAGAATAAAGGTGTTACTAAAAATACTAAGAAATTCATATTTCTTTGTTTTAATTGGTCTAATGTTATTTACATTTTACGTAAGAATTATACCGTATCATCGAAAAAAATCGGCGTCTAGTTGGCTTGGAAATGAACATCGATGACATTCCTAAATAACTGTACACATAAAATAATTAACTAGAATTTTACAATCTTGGAAAATTTGATGTTCTTGAACCTTGATTCTAAATATTCTAAATTTTTTGATTTTCTTCGAATTTAGGTTCGGGAAAAACGCTGATTGATTTTCATTTGGTTTTTCATTATTTTTATTTGGTTTAAAAAAAAAACGGTTCGGCTAACATTATAGCCTCCATCAGTGTTGTGTCATATGAAAAAAAAATGTTAATCGAATATAATCCAAAATTGCATATAAAATATGCACACCACACACATAATGTTTACTGCGTACTCCATAGTCAATGTAGATAATTTTAGTGTTAAGAATAATAATTTTTAAAAATATGTGGTCATCTTTTGATAAGTTTATATTAGTTTATTAATTGCAGTAAACATTATGAGGTGTGAATTATATTGTATATGTAATTTTTTGGATTATATTCGACACGATTTTTCTCATATGACACAACACCGTGAAGGCTATAGTTAGCCGAAACGTTTTTTTTTAAACCAAATAAAAGTAATGAAAACCCAAATGAAAACTTAATCTGCGTTTTTCCCGAACCTAAAATCCCAAAGAAAATCAAAATTTTAGAATAATTTAACATATAAAATGCCAGCGATCTTCATTTCATAGCCATCGCTGACGCCTTTTTAGATAATATTGTATTATTTGTAAATATAATTTTTCGAACATTGATACTTGCAAAATATACATATAAATTTTGTGAATGCAAATAATACATCACTATTAGTAGATATTCAATGTTTTTGTTAAATTAGATCGATTTTCAAACCCCAAAATTTAAAATATATTTACATTTTACCCATTATCTTATGTACCTATACATTGTTGTACATTGTAAAACATTTGCTGCATATGTATGGTTCATAGTTTATTTGCCAAGAAAGTATTTATTACTATAAATAGGTATATATGTTGTAGTTATTAACTGTATATTATGTATATTTCATTTAAACTATATCATTTTTAAAATACAAACCAAAAATCTGAGGAATAATTATGTTTTCCATGTATTCTACAACATATTTATTAATCCGTTATATCTAACTAGCGTGACGTCATAAATCTCGCCCGCAGGCTGATCTTTTAATAGAAGGCATTGGGCGGCCATACTTGTCGTGAGGAGAATGACAGGAATGACACTTGAATGACACTAATGACTGTTTCCAATCTGTCACATGACTGTCACCCCCCTGAGGCACGAGGCACGTGTGAATTTGTACTTTAAAAAAAGTTTCGTCTTGGGTTCGTCTTTTTGGCTTAAAATATTGGATATAATAATAAAAGTGCACTATGGCGCTCTATAACTTCAAGAAAATTGCTGTGGTTCCTACCTCAAAGGTCGGTAGATATAAAATGTTATAAAGATTCAAATAAGTAACTTTACTCGTGTTTTTAGGATTTTATTGATATAATATTATCTAAAACTCAGAGAAAAACACCGACGGTGGTTCATAAGCAATATAAGATTACAAGGATTAGAGCATTTTATATGCGCAAAGTAAAATTTGCACAACAAAGTTTTCATGACAGATTAACACAAATTTTAACCGAATTTCCCAAACTCGATGATGTTCATCCATTTTATGCTGATTTAATGAACGTTCTTTACGATAAGGATCATTATAAGTTGGCCTTAGGGCAGATTAACACAGCTAGGCACTTGATTGATAATGTAGCTAGAGATTACGTTAGATTGTTGAAGTATGGAGATTCGTTGTATAGATGTAAACAACTTAAAAGAGCAGCTCTAGGTCGTATGGCTACTATTATGAAGAGACAAGGCTCAAACTTAACATATTTAGAACAAGTTAGACAGCATCTTGCTAGGTTACCCTCCATTGATCCTTACACAAGAACAATTTTAATTTGTGGTAATAAGATTTTTTTAACTATTTAATTGTTTTTAATTTGTGTTTATTTTCTTTTTAAGGATTCCCCAATGTAGGGAAGTCATCTTTTATAAATAAAATAACAAGAGCAGATGTTGAAGTCCAGCCATATGCTTTTACAACCAAAAGTTTATATGTAGGACATACAGATTACAAATATTTACGTTGGCAAGTTATTGACACCCCTGGAATATTAGATCATTCTCTGGAAGAAAGGAATGTTATCGAAATGCAGGCTGTTACAGCTTTAGCTCATCTAAGGGCTTGTGTATTGTATTTTATGGATTTATCAGGTAAGAGTATTTTATTTTGTTAATCTTATTATATTGCCAATATTAAATTATTGTAGAACAGTGTGGTCATACAATAGAAGAACAAGTAAAGTTGTTTGATTCCATCAAACCGCTTTTTGCAAACAAACCCCTTATAGTAGTAGTCAATAAAACTGATATTGTAAAACTGGAAGACCTTATTGCAGAAAAGAGAATAACTTTGAAGGAAATTGAAGAGGATTCTGAATTACAAATTATGGAAATGTCAACAGTAACGGAAGAAGGAGTTATGGAAGTTAAGATAGAGGCTTGTGAAAAATTATTGAGCTTTAGGGTTGATCAGAAAATGAGAACTAAAAAGGTTATATGAGAAAACTACACACATATAATTTATAATAACTAATAAGTATTATATTTCATATAGGTGGATGGAATTTTAAATCGTCTTCATGTGGCCATGCCTAAACCAAGGGACAATAAAGAGAGGCCCCCTTGTATTCCTGAAAGTGTGTTGGTTAAGATGCAACAACAACAAGAAAAAAAGAAACGTAAATTGGCTAGAGATATTGAATTAGAAGAAGGAGATGACTTTGTTGTGAACCTAGCTAAAGAATACACTGATATTCCAGAAGGTTGTATACAATTTTAATTTATTTTTTCTAACTGAAGTTCTTATAGATGAAAGGTATGATATTATTCCTGAAATTTGGGAAGGACATAATGTTGCTGATTACATTGATCCTGATATATTTGACAAATTAGAAGAACTAGAAAAGGAAGAGGAAATTCGGGAACAGACAGGAATGTATGTCATACCAAAAATTGAACTCGATGAAACTATGCAAGAAATTAAAAAACTTGCTTTGCAAATTAGGTAAATTATTTAAAAGTTCAGAAAAGTAATTAAAGTAAACACCCCCTTCTTTTAAGACATAAGAAGGCAATTCTTAAAGATGAAGCTAGAATTAATAAACAGAGTAGGAAACCAGTAATACCTAGAACATCTGGTGCTAAAGTAAGTTTAACATGCAAATTTGGATAATGGTACTAATTTTTATTATATAGGTTAAAGAGCGTTCTGTGTCTAAACTAAGAAAAAGTATGGAAAACTTGGGGGTCAATATGTCCAGTACTAAAGAATTTAACTTTACGAAAACAAAACAGAGAGTAAGATCTGTTGGTAAGTAACAGATCAAAAATTGTATTATTTTTGTTTGACATCATACAAGGTTTTGCTTACATTTTTTAGGGCCTGCTTCTAAGAAAGCTCGTATGGAAGTAGATGTTCTGAACCCATTAAATAAGGCAAGGGTTTTGGTTAAACCACCAAGAAATGACCAAGGAATTAAAGATATAGCTGTAAGATTAAAAAAAATAGCCACATTATATTTTAAAATTATTTTTTATAGATGAAGAAGAAGCTACAACAAATTGCTCATAGAGCTATTAGCAAGAAAGTTGCCAAAATGGGACTCAAAGGTGAAGCTGACAGATTTATTGGAAACAAGATGCCTAAGCATCTGTTTTCTGGAAAACGAGGTACAGGAAAAACAGACAGAAGATAATTATAATATTTTCGTTGCCTATTAATTTTCAATATATATTCTGTTATTGATTATATTAAATATAAAAAAGTTGAAACTTATAGAATTATTATTTATTTGGCGAGGTCAAGCCACAGGTAGATAAGATACTATCAAAATACATAAGATAATAAGATTGTATAGAAGCTAGTCACATGTATAATAGTTTGTGGCAATTAGTGGCCAGGTGGCAATCCTGATGAATATTCAAGTTCTATATTCTATACAGAGAAGAACAATCGTAGACAAACGACAAAAACCGTCGGCACTAGAGGTGGGTTGTGAAATCGCAGTCCGCTACTTTGTCACAGCTCCACCAACGTCGCAGTATGTGACTGCTCCAGTTCCAAGAAAATCGCAGTGACATTTCGGAGCAGTTTACAAGTTTAGGACATCTGCGCTCGTGAGTAGCAATAGGAGCAATAGCAGACAATAGTGTAAATTCTGAAAATGCTCCTAGCCCCGTCGCCCGGTCAGACTGTTCCAGTCACAGTCGTCGCAGGTCGCAGTCGACTGGAGCATAGTATATTGAGTATATTCTGTGTACTGGAGCTGTTGGGAGTTTGGGAACGGGAAACGTAGCAGCGTTCGCTTTTTCTTTCATGAATCTAAATAAGATATTTATGTATTATATATTAATCACAAACAGATGTTTTTGACAAAGGTAATTTTTAACTTGTTAGTATGTTTATTTGTTAGTTAATTTTGTATCTGTGTTTTGTTGTATATCCTAAATCTTTTATTTGATCTTATACATTCATATAAGTTTTATTATTTATATCTATTTTTAAGGTCTGATGATGGCTAAATAGCCGAAACCGGTCACTAATAAAGATTTTTTTGACAGTTTCGACTTTGAATTGAATATAACATTAAGTTTTTACCATGGGCCACCACTCTGTGAAAATGAACAGACTCTTTAAGATATTTATAGCAAAGTGCTTGGTACTTAGAAACACTCAAATTCTTCTGAATAGACTAAAAAAATATAGCAACATCTATCAAACTAAGACATCAGTATAGTACCGTACAGCCGCGATTTTAAGAGCTCTAGGGGCCCGTAGTTCGGAAAAGTTCGAATCTTGTTCGCAAGGGCCCGGGAGGCTTGGGGCCCGTCGGTGACTTACCCCGATTGCACAGACGTTAAAATCGCCACTACTGATCGAAATAAAAAACGGCGTCCAGTTGGCTTGGAAATGACAATCGATAACATTCCCCATAAATTTTACATATAAAATGCCAGCAATCTTCATTTCATAGCTATCGCTGACGCCGTTTTTTCGATCATACGATATAAATAAATAAAAACTAGACGATGATGTTGCCTATCATAATCACACCTATAGTCCTGTACTTTTTTAGTAAATGCAACGAACGGTGCCGAACACCGAGTGCGATTTTTCGGAGCAATTAACCTATAAAACTACATTTTTAATTTATAGGTTAATTGCTCCGAAAAATCGCTGCTACTTGTCACAGTGCTTTTATTGGAGCAGTCGCAGAGCGTAGCAGCTCCACAAAAATCGCAGACTGGCCCACCTCTAGTCGGCACTATTGAAGTGAGGAACAGGGGGGTGACAGCATGGAGCCAAAGAGTAGATAAGACAAGAGACGACAGTGAACAAAGAAGTCGAATTTCGCGAGAGAGACGCAGATATATTAAAATTTAAAGGTCCCATGGGTTCCTCCACAGAATATCTAGCTACGCAACAGAAGCCTCGTTACATGTATAAAATCGTAGGTCTCAAAAGGAGACAGGCTTTAAAAGCCTGTCTCCAAATCAGATATTTTGATGCGGTAGTTTCACTACTACATAACAGAGGGCGATAAATTTAAAAGAAAACAGTTTTCTACAAACGAAATTTAAAAGAATTTTATGCAGTGTTGCCATTGTGTAATTTATATTGTAATATTTCCTGATAAAGCCTAGCTTCAAATTTGCTACATCATTTAAACATATTAAAATAAATTAGAGCTCTTTTTTCAAACGTTTAAGTATTTAACTCGCCATGTTAGTTGGAGTTAAATCATACGAGCTGAATTAAAATCACTTCCTGACGTTTGATTCTAACTGAATCCTGAATTTTGATCGTAATTCGGCGACAATATAATAAGTATTATTCTACTATTATGACACCACTTCCTGACGTTCGATTGTGTTCATACCGTATGATCGGGAAAAAACGGCGTTAGCGATGGCTATGAAATGAAAATCGCTGTCATTTTATGTGTAAATTTATATGAGAAATGTCATCGATCGTCTTTTCCCAGCCAACTGGACGCCGTTTTTTTCGGTATCGCACGGTATTTGATATATACTTGCGTATTTTTCATGACATTGCAATATTATGGTACCATGAAGCATATCAAGTGATACCGTAATATAGTACATATATTACGATACATGGCGTTCGATTGGGCTTAAACTTGGTATATTACGTATCTTCAGTGACATTGTAATATTATGGTACCATGAAGCATATCAAGAGGTACCATAATGTAGTACCATATTACGATACCATTTCCTGGCGTTCGATTGGGCCCAACTTTGATATACTTGTGTTTCTTTATAAAGATTTGTTTAATTAATAATTTTAATTTATTTTAATAATTTTAATTTATTTTATGAATTTTAATCTATTGTACGATGTCGTGACAGCAACTTTTATGCCGAACTAATATATTATTAATTGTACCTGTGTCACTTTTTAAAATCTACCTAGGTCTATATAAATAACGTGGCAAACAGAAAAAAAATGTTATTATAGTATTTTTTTAGTCAATTAACATTTTTTGTACTGCATTTTGATAAATCATTTCCATTATTATTAAACGTATATTTCATTAGTAACGTTTCAGCATTAATAAATATCACTATCAATCGCCCTGTATATTATTAATTTTAAAGGTAGTTAAAGTTATTTTCTTAGTTAACATAATAAAGTGGTGTATATTAAAAATGTATTTTGAGAGCATATGTTTTCTAATATTACCTCAAAAATTAAAACCATTTTAAAAAAGCCAAATAAATAATTAATAAAGCAAGAATATTAATTTTAACTATAAACATGAGGACATACTATAGCTGTCTAGTTTACCAAAATATCTAAGTAATTATACCTCATAGTTTATGAATTATCGCTTGTCAAATTCCTTTAATTTCGATATTGACTCACTCACCGTCATCAAAATTCTAAGGTACTTCTAGAAGCGTTACAAACTTCAAATTTTGAATTTTAGGTAGCATTAAACTTATAATGGAAGGAAAAAATGAAAAATCTCGAAATATCCTTAAGGATTAAAAGTTATAGCAGTCTACCCGCTACCGGTAACTGACTTTCCGGCGATGGTAATAGAAGAACCGGTGATAGGATTGTTTTGAAAATGTGGATTTTTTTATAAAGGCACATGCTCCATCTATCTAAAATTTATCAGCGTTACAATGTTGCCGGATCATTTGAAAAGTGGTAGCATTTGTTATTTTAAATGGAACACCCAATATATTATTACATTTTTTGAAACTACTCTCATGTCTCATAATTTTTCTCTTATACTAACCTATACACCTATCTCTTATAGTTTTCTATATGAAAAATAAAATATGTGTAAAATTGACAAAAACATAATTTTGAATAAACATTGGTAAAATGTAAAATCATAACTTGAACATTTTTAAAGTTGAAATTTAGGTTATAACATAACGAAAGTCGGAAACAGAAGTCGTTAGAAAACTAGAATTAATGCATTGGATATTATCTGACTTTATACGATAATTCAAAGTTTATGAATTATTGCCTAGTCAAACTTATTAATATTGTTTGGATGATATATTGCCCGAAAAAAAAATAGGTGGGTAGCCTACAAAAAGAAATGAGATCCCATCAAAAACATAGAATGTAAAAAATGCCAAGTCTCGCAACACAATTCTTCCACTATAAAAAGTTGTGAGATCTCATGTAAAACCAAGTCAGTTTATTTTATTTAGTCTCTCTTTAAGCACCTACTGAACAATTTTGTTATAAATTGTTAGTATCAATATTAGACACCTTTATTTCTGTAATAATTATAATGACTTGGCAATTGCACGATATCATATAGTAATTAAAAAACTTTATTTTTAAGGGCACTGTTTAGATATACTGAGGAATCGAGAAAGTCTTACCTAAAATCCTTGGATACAATACTCCACCAGGAGCTACGATTATCTTTGGGTGCCTTTCGCACCACACCGGTGAAGAGTCTTTATGCCTTATCTGGATATTCTTCCTTGTATCACAGGAGAATTCTCCATACTCTTAATTATGGAATATCCATTAAGTCAAAGCCTTTTTTGATTGACTATGGCAAGTTCTTCGACTTACAAGACAGTGAAACGTATACCGTTCTTCTAAAATACCCACGCCCCATTAATATAAGATACCACCTATTTTCCTCCCAACAAAACATTCATAATATCCCTGTATCCACTTTTTCCGACACACTGCCCCCTCCATGGAAGGATACTATTTTAGTTAATATGGAACTTTGTACCATGATTACTTATGGAGCAGTTGCTTGGTATACAAAACTAGAGCAACGTACAGCAAGGCAAAACCTGTGCAAAGTACAGAGACTGGCATGTATCTGCATTACAGGTGCCATGAGAACATGTCCAACAGCAGCAATGGAGGTCATTCTAGACCTAACACCACTACACATTGTCGTCGGTAGTTATGCCAATGCGACAATGATTAGAATGGTTACTGATGGAAACAGTACTGGGAGAATTTTCAGGTCAGGGGCTTGGAACACCCTCAAAAAGAAAATTCCACTTCTCCAACTCCCAGTGGATGACATACCAAGAATTTTACAACTTTGAGAAACACCCTCACTGTAGTATTGAGTAATAAAAAAGGGATTGGAAGAAAGAAACACTTACTCAGCATATAAAAAAAGACCATACCATCAATGCGTATACTGATGCTTCCAAAACCAAAAGCAGGGACAGGGATAGGGAGTATTTGGGCCGAAAACTGAATACTCCGAACCAATGGGCACCTACCCCAGTATCCTTCAGGCAGAA